GTGTGTTTTGTGCTTTAGGGTGCACACCCTAATGCAATAGGCTGCGCTCCCCTATGGAAAGTTACAATCCCGGGTGCCAGCCGATATATCCACTTGCCACCATTTTATTTTAGCTCTCTCGTTATGCTCATTATCCCATCCACATTTTCATATGCCCTTCTCGGCTACACTCCCCCCTTCTCTCATCTCATGCCTTACACTCATTTTTCTTCTCTCTCACTCCAACCCACAATCGATCTCATCCTAGACCTCATGCATACAAAACCCATTCACACCTCCTGTCACTTTCTCTCCTCCTACTTCTAGCAGCTGGTGATGTCTCTCCCAATCCAGGGCCCTTCACCTTCTCTACACACACTAAGACAACCAGAAACCCCACAAACCTCATCACAATACCCTGCCCTTTACCCTCACTTACCAAAATCAATTGTGCACTCTGTAATGCCCGCTCCATCTGCAGTAATTTAAAATCAACAACCATACACGACTTTTTCATCTCAAACTCACTCACACTGCTTGCACTTACAGAGACCTGGCTGTCCCCCTCTGATAGCGCTACTCCTGCCTCTTTATGTTTTGGTGGGCTACAATTCTCTCACACTCCCAGACTCAACTGTAGAGGAGGCGGCGTAGGCATCCTTCTCTCCCCTCAATGTACCTTTCAACCAATCATAACTCCCCCTGCCCTATCCTTTTCTTCTTTTGAAGTTCACACTGTCCGCCTATTTAAACCCACTCTTTTAAGAATTGCTATCATCTACCGCCCCCCCCGGTTATCCTAGACTATTCATTGAGCACTTTTCTTCCTGGCTTCCCCACTTCCTCTCATCAAGCACTCCTTCCCTTATACTTGGGGATTTCAATATCCCAATCAATAACCCCAATTGCACTGATGCCTCTTGTCTGCTCTCTGTAACCTCCTCCTTTGGCCTTACGCAATGGTCCAATCTAGCAACCCATACAGCGGGAAACACTCTTGATCTTGCCTTCACCAACCTCTGTACTGCCTCTAATCTCTCCAATATTCCCTTTCCTATATCTGACCACCATCTGCTGACTTTTGACATTGGCATACCTAAGACCCAATTGACACCACCGTCTGAACATCACTCTCACAGAAACCTCCAATGTCTTGACCTAGAGCATTTCTCCACTAATCTCCAAACTCTCCTTTTACCTATCTCAAACCTCACCTGTCCTAGTTCTGCAACCTCCTTCTACAATTCCACCCTCTCCTCGACATCATGGCACCACATTTAAACGCCGCAGGCCCCCCCCAACAACAACCCTGGCACACCAAGCTCACTCGATACCTCCAAAAAATGCTCCAGAACTGCTGAACGCTGTTGGAGAAAGTCTCACTGTGCATCTGACTTTCTCCACTATAAATTTATGCTGAGCTCATACAGCTTGGCTCTTTCCTCTGCAAAAGTTAATTACTTCAGTACCCTCATAACTACACTCTCCCGCAAACCCAAACGACTATTTCACACATTTAACTCTCTTCTTCGCTCTGCTGTTCCTCCTCCACCTACTAACTTGACTGCCTCAGACTTTGCAACTCACTTCACTGACAAGATCTCTACAATCAGAGAAGATATATCTCATCTTTCTTCTTCCTCTTACAATACTTCCCCTAACTTCACTCCCTCTGCTGTTCTATGTTCATTCGCACCCGCTACATTGGAAGAAGTTTCTGCTCTGCTCCAGTCCTCCCGCCCCACCACCTGCTCCCAAGATCCAATTCCCTCGCATCTCATCCGTACTCTGTCTTCTTCTCTTTCTCCACCTCTCACTAAAATCCGCAATCTCTCTCTCTCCTCTGGTATATTTCCATTGCCCTTCAAACATGCAACTGTAACCCCAATTCTAAAGAAGCCCAATCTTGACCCTAACTCCCCATCCAACTATCGTCCTATCTCGCTACTGCCTTTTGCATCCAAGATCCTTGAAAAAATTGTGTATGCGAGATTGACAGACTTCCTCGAGTCCAACTCTCTGCTAGACCGCTTCAGTCTGGTTTCCGCGCTAAGCACTCTGTGGAAACGGCACTGACCAAAGTATCCAATGATCTACTCGCTGCAAAATCTCGTGGTCACTACTCTATCCTAATTCTCCTTGACCTGTCTGCGGCTTTTGACACTGTTGATCATCAACAGCTTCTTCTCATCCTCCGCAATATCGGTCTACAACATACTGCTCTCTCCTGGTGCTCCTCCTACCTCTCCCAGCGCTCTTTCTTTCTTTGGTTCTGCTTCTTCTCCCCAACTCCTCTCTGTTGGAGTCCCCCAAGGTTCAGTCCTTGGTCCCCTACTGTTCTCCATCTATACGGCCTCCCTTGGTAAACTCATTAGCTCATTTGGCTTCCAATATCATTTCTATGCAGATGACACGCAAATCTACCTGTCCTCTCCTGATCTCTCCCCATCCTTCTTGACTAGTGTCTCTGACTGCCTCTCTGCTGTTTCTAACTGGATGGCTGCCCACTTCCTTAAACTAAACTTGACCAAAACTGAAATTCTGGTCTTTCCTCCCTCAAGTGTTGTTACTCCTGTGTCTGTCTCCCTCCAAGTCAACGGTGCTACCATCAGCTCCACCACGCAGGCTCGCTGCCTAGGTGTTCTCTTTGACTCCGACCTCTCCTTCAAGCCTCATGTTCAATCTATCGCCAAATCCTGTCATTTCCATCTCAAAAACATTGCGCGCATCCGCCCCTACTTAACGCCAGATGCGACTAAGGTGCTGGTCCATTCCACTGTCCTTTCTCGCCTTGACTACTGTAATCCGCTTCTCAGTGGTCTTACGTGCTCCCAACTAGCGCAGTTACAGTCCATAATGAATGCGGCGGCGAGGCTCATCTTCCTGTCCGCCCGCACCTCCCATGCCTCACCCTTCTGTCAATCCCTACACTGGCTTCCTATAAAATATAGAGCTCAATTTAAAATTCTGGTTCTTGCTTTCAAATCGCTACATAATGCTGCTCCCACCTATCTATCCTCCCTTATACACAAGTATGTCCCGTCTAGGCCCTTACGATCTGCTGAAGACTTACGTCTATCTTCTGTCGTACTCCCACCTCTGATGCTCGCCTTCAAGATTTCTCGAGGGCTGCACCGTTCCTGTGGAACTCGCTTCCCTCCTCCATTAGATGCTCACCCAGTCTCCATTCCTTCAAAAAATCGTTAAAAACCCACTTCTTCATAAAAGCGTATCACTTAAACTGTTAATAGCTCCTGACTGATTCCTCTTCTGCAACTGTCATTAGTCTAATACTATCCTTACCTTTTTGTGTCATTTTACCCCACTCCCTCTAGCATGTTAGTTCATTGAGCAGGGCCCTCAACCCCTCTGTTCCTGTGTGTCCAACTTGTCTGGTTACAACTACATGTCTGTTCGTCCACCCATTGTAAAGCGCTGCGGAATTTGACGGCGCTCTATAAATATCATAATAATAATAATAATGCTGAATTAATGGAGGCAGATGCAGACTGGGACATGTATGTAATGGTGTTGTCTGAGATTAAAAAAAACCTCTAACCGTAGCCCTATAGAATCATGTAAAATAAGTAATACATAACAGTGAAACATGTAAAATAATGGCATACTGGGATATAAGATGATGTCCTCTTGATAGCTCTATCTATCAATCTATCTCTCTAACTAGTATTTTAGGCATGTACACTAAATACTACACTAAACTCTGAGAGTCCCAGGTCCCAATTCTCGCTATATATAGGTGCACTGTGGGCCCCTGCTACCTGTACACTCGGTCTTTCCTTTCCAGCTACTCTCTAACTCTCGCAAGCCCCGTGGCCACCTTAGCGTTGCCACGGGTTACCATGGCAGCGCACCACACGCAGGCCGGTCTTGCAAGAGTTATAGAGAGAGGAGCTGGAAAATAAAGACCGAGTGTGCTGTGGGCCCCCCTCTACAGTCTGCAGCAGCTGGCTCCCTCGACCATGCCAACGGACCACCAGGGAATGCGATCTCCCTCTTCCTTGACCAGGTAAGAAGCAGAGAAGAGGGAATAAAATATACACAGATAAATGTAAAACAATGCTTTTCCCCCTATTTTAGACACACACACACACACACACACACACACTACATCCTTACACAAGCTTACACACCACCACTACATTCAGTATACACACTCTGCACTCACTACACACACACTGCATTCAGTATACACACTATGCAATCACTACAAACACACAACATTTACTATACACACTCTGCACTCACTACAAACACACTATATTCACTATACACACTCTGCACTCACTACAAACACACTCCATTCTCTATACACACTCTGCATTCACTACAAACACACTATATTCACTTTGCACACTCTGCATTCATTACAAGTTTACCACATTCACTATACACACTCAGTACACACCCAACCTTTATGATACACACTCTGCAGTCACTTTACACTCCCTACATTCACTATTCACACTCTGCAGTCACTACAAACATACTAAATTCACCATACACACTTTGCACTCACTACATACACACTACATTCACGATACACAGTCTGCAATCACTATATATTCATTACATTCACTATACACACTCTGCACTCCAAGCTTACTACATTCACTATACACACTCTAGACTCACTATACACTCACTATACACGTACTACATTCACTATACACGTACTACATTCACTATACACACTCACTGCATTCACTATACACACTCTGCAATCACTATACACTCCCTACAGTCATTATTCACACTCTGCACTTAATACACATACTACATTCACGATACACAGTCTACAGTCACTATACACTCACTACATTTACTATACACACACTACATCCACTACACAAACACACACTCTGCATTCACTATACACTCACTACATCCACTATACAAACACACACTCTGCATTCACTATACACACCTACCTCCACTACACAAACACACATTCTAAATCTAATACATGCAAACATTAGATACATTACACAAAACGTTCAATCTGCATCCAATATACACACTGCATTCATGACATACATACCACATCAAGTACACACACCACACTAAGTACACACACACACACACATACGTGGGCCAACTTAGGTTAGACCCTTTGGGGGCGGGCCTGTAGGTGGACTCGGGGGCAGGCCTTTTGGGTGGACTCGGGGGCAGGCCCCGGTGGTCCAGACCTTGAGCAATGTCAGGGGCCCCAACATTTCTGATGGCAGCCCTGATGAACACAGACAGCCATGATAAATATCTGCACACCGTGTTTGTTTTTGTGTTGTAGGGTAGTATTAGGCACTCAAATATGATATCAAAATAAATCCATTTATGATACCATCCATACCCCCACCTCTATTTCAAAGGAGAAAATAAAAAAGGACTCCACTTATAATTGTTACCCTGGTCACACAAATGCAAAAAATGGTCTTGACATGTGGTATGTCTTGTTTTTAGGGTTTCTAGGATGGGTTGCATTGATAGAGTGAACTACCTTAGCTTTAAAACTTGTAATGACAAGTGACTAGATTTAAGACAAATATTTATGCACACTGAAACAAACAGATATTCAGCAGCAGACATATTGACTAATCTTTAGTATTGTATCTAATAATCTTTCTTTGTGTATATTTTTGCCTAGACAAACGAGTAGCCCCTTCAGTTGGATATCAGGGATTATGGGGTGTATCATTAACACGTCACGACTCATCCATTAAAAGGCTTCAAACATCATTTGAGAAGGATCCTGTGCACTCTCCAGCAGACCAGACAGAAAATCAACTAAATATGCAATCACCAAGCAACTCAATTTAGCCCAAGGCTATATGTGTTAATACAAAATACGCAACCATGCTCACTCTTTTTAAAGAATAATTCATTTTTAATAAAATTCATATTTATTCTCCAATATTAGCTGTTCTGGAAATATATTCAACCAAAATGTAATAGTGTTTTTTGGTAACTGAGTATTTTCCTGACAAATCAAATGAAGATAATGGCTTGTATCATCATACACATTTTAATGAAATTGTGTTAATGTGATCTTTAATGATAATATAACAATGATTTACGTGAAGTAAAACATAACATTTCAAAAAAAATTACAAACACAATGAGAGAAAATCTGTCACCGGGTTTGTAGTGGTTGTAGGGTAATTAGGGCATAACCTAATGTAGAACTAAGAAAGATTAAAACAGATTTGCAGAGGGGCGTGGCCTATCACCCGAGCCGCATGGACGTGCTCTTCTAGAGCTCCAGGGAGCCGCACGCTATAGGGGAAAAATAACCGGGATACACAACTTACTCTCGGCACTAAACTAGTGGGGACCGGCGCAATGTCCCATAGATCCACCCAAAAAACGGCGAAAGCGGACAAGGCATCGTTCTTTATGGCGAAAGCCGTACACAGCAAGCACAGCCGCGAGGAAATCCAAGATGGCGGCGGCCACGGATCCAGGGAGGTCTCTCCATCTCCTCCCTCCTCACCCACCTCACTACTAGAGGATAGCCCCCTCACGATAGCCACAATGTAGTCCTTTATGGCGGACTTCACAATGCAGATACAAGGCACCATTGCGGGGCAGATCAAAACGCTAGCAGGCGAACTTAAAAGAGACATACAGGACTTGGGCCTACGCACATCCCATATTGAGAATGCAATCAGCAAACATGCCTCCGCCCATAACAGCATGGCTGACCAGCTACACCAGGTGCAACAACTTATCCAAGAACAAAATCTGAAACTTGCTGACTTGGAGGATAGATCCAGGAGAAATAATCTGCGCATTAGAGGTATTCCTGAATCAATTACAAATGAAGCCTTGCACAATTACCTCCAGGCCTTTTTCCTGGAACTGATTCCAGAAGTTCATCCGGATCAAGTGGTCCTAGATAGAACACACAGACTCAGGAGACCCCAGCACCTTCCTACTTCAACAGCCAGAGATGTAATCACCAGAGTGCATTTCTTCCATGTCAAAGAGAAGATTGTCAAAGCAGCTAGAAAAGATAATCTACCCTCTCAATATGGAAACCTGAAGATTTTTGCGGACTTGTCAGCGCACACACTCAAATTCCGCAAATCACTTGCACCTATCACCACCGCACTGAGAGCGCAGGAGGTTCCGTACCGGTGGGGCTTCCCAGCGAAACTTATCGTCCACCACGACAACTCCAACCACCCTATCACCTCAGTGGATGAAGGCTTGAAAAAACTGGCGGACTGGGGACTACCTAGGCCGGTCGTACCTGTGCAACCCGCTACAAAAATACCAAGACTGTCGGTGGACTGGTCCAGAGCCTAACGTGAAGGCTGAGTATATGCTGCATGATTGCTGAACCAATGTCTTATTAACCGTTCTAACTTTGCTTATATGTTGTGTCACTGCTCATTAGCTATCCTGGGATATGTTTGTATAATGCTTATTGTTGTGTGCATCATCTACCGTCATAGGCGTGCGCACGGGGTGTGCCGGGTGTGCCTGAGCACACCCTAATCCCGCGGCACGCCTATGCATATTGAGACCGGCAGGGGAGATCTCAGGATCTCCCCGTCGGCTCATGCAGAGCCGGCGCTATCCGAGCGCCGGCTCTGCTCTCAGCCTCCCTCCCCACCGACCAACATGCAGGGAGGGAGGCAGGAGAGGACCCGGCGGAGCTATTGCCGGCAGCTCCGCCGGGTTCCTCTCGCGAGATATGAGCGTTGCCACGGCAACGCTCAAATCTCGCGAGGGTGAACTCTAGCCTCCCAGGGGTTAGAGTTCACTCTCCACTGGACCACCAGGGATCGCAGCAGCACCCACACACATTCAGCACCCACACACATTCAGCACCCACACACATTCAGCACCCACAGACATACACAGCACCCATACACAACACCCACAGACATACACAGCACCCACAGACATACACAGCACCCACAGACACATACAGCACCCACAGACATACACAGCACCAACACACATACAGCACCCTCACAAACACACACAGCACCCTCACACACAGCACACACACAGCACCCTCACACACACACAGCACACTAACAGTACCCTCACAAACACAAACAGGACCCTAACAAACACACACACAGCACACTACCAGTACCCTCACACACAAACAGCACCCTCACACACAGTACATTAACAGCACCCTCACAAGCGCACAAACACACACAAACAGCACCCTCACACACAGTACATTAACAGCATCCTCACAAGCACGCACACACAAACACCCTCACCCACATAGCACACTACCAGCATCGTCACACACACATCACACTAACAGCACCCTCACACAGCGCACACACACACAGCAGTGTTTATATATATATATATATATATGCGGCGTGTGCTTGTGCTTTAGGGTGCACACCCTAATGCAATAGGCTGCGCACGCCTATGTCTACCGTACATAATGACCACAGCAACTTTTAGTTGACGGCTAGAATAGGCGCTGCCCAATAGCAGTCGCACTCCAAGGCACCGCACCTGTCCCTGTTACTCGAGCACAGACAGAGCAGAGCACTGACGCATGTTGGTTAAGCGTCCTGCAGCGAGGTCTCTTACATCCCAGTACCCACGAGACATTCCCACTCCATGGTCCCCTACGCGTGACTCCCTACCCCCCCCCCCCAGGTACGGTCGTCACCACATCAGACTGACCTATAGCCACGTCACCCACTACCTGTGCCCAGTATCACTAGACACTATATAGCTCAAGAGGTTTGAGCTCTTTATAACTTGTTACTAAATGTTCCCCTCTGTTTTTTCTACTCCCCCCCGCCAAGTTGGATTTCGATCAACTGCAACGTTGTGACCCCCATCACAACTCTTATTAATTTGTTATGCAATACTGTGTACCGCACACTGAACACCACACGTCATCATATGCGCTCTCAATATGGGAATCATGAGCCACTACCTACTCAATCTCTAACACTCTATCATGAAAATAGTCTCCTATAATGTGAAGGGGCTTAACTCCCCGAATAAAAGAAGCCTATTATTTCAGACGCTCCAACACCAGCATATAGATATAGCGTGTATCCAGGAAACCCATTTTAAGTCCTCCATGGAACCAAGGTTATTTGCTAAACACTATCCTAATCAATTCCATGCCCGGTCGGCCAACAAGACGAAAGGGGTGTCAATTCTCATCAGCAGAGACATAGCTCTGGAGATCCAGAGACAATACACTGACCCACAGGGGAGATTCATTATACTAGTGGGCCTTTTTAACACAACACAATACACACTGGTTACAGCCTACTTCCCCAACTCCGACTCGACAAACTTCTTAAACAAAGTTCTCCAAATAACGGAGGACCACCGGCAGGGAGGCCTAATTCTGTGCGGGGATTTTAACTTCATCCAGTCACCACAATTGGACACATCAGCTGCGCCATCCCGTAATAGGGGTAGACGCCTGTCCAACACCTGTAAAAGTCTCACCACCTTGATCTCAAAACACGGCCTGTACGATGGCTGGAGGATCACACACCCCACGGAGAGGGACTACACGTTCCACTCCGCGGTGCACAATACTTATTCCCGCATCAACGCGTTCCTAGTAGATAGCAGGTCCCTGGCCCAAATGGCGGAATGTAAAATAGGCTCATTTGCTTGGTCGGATCATTGCCCAATTTACATCACATTGCACGACACGTTCCAATTCAAGGGGCGAGGGAACTGGAAGCTTAATGAGTCGCTACTCTCTGATGATTCCTTTGCTAAACTAATTAACAACGAACTGGACCATTTCTTCCGTCTGAATGGCGGGGGAGAGGTATCAGAAACTTCGGTTTGGCTAGCCCATAAGGCGGTCGTCCGGGGCCTATTCATTAAGAGATCCGCACACTTAAAAAGACAGAGACAGGGAGAACTCCTCCGATGTCACGAACAAATTGCAGCACTAACGGTTAGAAATAAAGCCAACCCCACTAAGGTACTTGCTGCGGAACTCCAGCAAGCTTACCGCAAACTACATACACTGAACGCAACGAAAACTGAGTACTTATTGAACAGACTGAGAGCGACTACCTACCACTCAGGTGGGAAAGCCAACAAGTACCTGGCAGCAAGACTGCGGGACAAACTGGCAACTAATAAAATAGCGTACATACTAGGGGAAGATGGGACAAAAAAGCTAGGGCCCCAAGAGATTAGCGATACGTTCGCCAAATTCTATTCCAAACTGTATAACTTGAGGGACGACCCCGATACGCACACCCCCACTGTAGTTGAAGTAAAAACATTTCTTGACCGCATCAAACTGCCCCAACTATCGAGAAGCCAAATCGAATCCCTAACACGCCCCCTCACGGTGACGGAGATATTAGACACTATCAGGGAGTTACCTAATGGGAAATCCCCCGGAGCGGATGGGCTTTCAAACCTCTACTACAAAAAGTATGCCCTGACGTTGGCACCACACCTGCTGGAAACCTTCCACCAGGCGATGGAGAGAGGAGCATTGCCGGCAGAAATGCTGCGAGCCACTATAGTGACTCTGCCGAAACCCGGTAAACCGACTGATAATTGTAAAAAATTTCGCCCCATCTCCCTGCTCAATACAGACGCTAAACTGTATGCAAAAATCTTGGCGAACCGGTTTGCCCCCTTGCTGCCCTCACTCATCAAAGATGATCAAACAGGCTTCGTAAAAGGGAGGCAAGGCCTGGATAACACCCGGAAACTGTCGGTGGTCCTCCAGCAGCTCAGGGGGGCCAGAGAGGGCGGTCTCCTGCTAGCGCTAGATGCCGAAAAGGCGTTTGACCGCCTTGGCTGGCCCTTCCTTCAGGGGGTTTTGGAGGCATATGGGGTCCCGTCTCAGATTTGTCGGCAAATATTCGCACTCTGCGCGAGTCCCTCGGCGCAGGTACTCCAGTCGGGGTTCCTTTCCTC